TTCTTCTTGGGTCCAACTTCTTTGGGACTCTCTGAGCTTCCTGGATTTCCTGGAAGTCTATTTCCTTTGTCAGAATGGGGAAGTTCTCCTTTGTTATTTGTTCAAATAAGTTTTCCACTGGTGGCTGTGCCTTTCCCCCTTCTGGTATCCCTATAATTCGGATGTTGGAGCATTTAAAGATGTCCTGGAGGTTCCTAAGTCTCCCCTCATTTTTTTGAATTCTTGTTTCTTCATTCTTTTCTGGTTGGTCATTTTTTCCTCCTTCTGGTCCACTCCATTGATTTGAGCCCCAGTTTCCTTTCCATTACTGTTGGTTTGCTGCGCATTTCCATTCCTTTCAATTAGTTTGGCCTTCATATGTTCCTCTAATTTGTGACTAAAGTCAACCAGTTCTGTGAGCATCCTGATGACCAGTGTTTTGAACTGTGCATCTGAAAGTTTTGCTATTTCTTTGTCACTTAGATTTATGAGCTCTGGGGCTTTGAGATCTTCTTGAGCCATTTTTGGTCTGTTTGCTCCCGTTAAGTATGAGGAACGGAGCCTCAGGTGTTCACCAGGGCAGGGCCGCCCAGGTCGCTGGTTTGTGACACTGTGTGTGGGGGCGGGGTCAGAGCGGGGAAATGGCGGCCCCCTGTACTGCTTCCTGCCGCTGGGGCCTGCTCAGTCCTGTTTCACTGCTCACTCCCTCCTGGTCTGTCTGCGCACGACTGTGTGACCACAGTCAACCTGCCACCCTGCACCCTTGCTAGGTCCGCCTGTCACTCACTGGGTCGCTCACTGGGTCCGTCCGTTGCAACCCCACACCTGGGATCCCTGCGCCTGAGTCCGTCTGACCTAGTTTTCCTGTGCAACCCCGCTCCGCCAGCTGCTGGCTTTGCTCCTCTTACCAGTCAGGCTGAAGAATTCGTTGTTATGAGATTTCCAAAAAGTTCAATTTTCTGTGTTTTGGCTATGTTTTCTGTTGCTAATATTTTGTTGTCTCTAAACTTGGTTGTGTGAGAAAGCATGGCGTTTGTACCTATGCCTCCATCTTGGCGGATAATTATAATGTTTTTTAGTGTGGTTTATTTTGTTGGGGACTCTAAGCTTCCTGGGCTTGTATGCCAATGTCCTTCACCAGGTTATAGAAGTTTTCCATCCTTTTTTGTTCAAATAACTTCTTAATCCCTTGCTTCCTTTCTTTGCCTTCTGGTATCCATCCCTATGACACAAATGTTGTTATGCTTGATGTTGTCCCAGAGATCTATTACTATCATCATGTAAAATTTTCTTTTGCTATTCCCATTTTTTCCTGCTACCTTTTCTTCCAAGACTTTGATTTGATACTATGTTTCTTTTATTCAGCTATTGATTCTTTCTACTGTATTCTTCATTACAGTTATTGTATTAATTTCTGATTCTTTTTATGATTTCTATGCCCTTTTTTATGCTTCCTATCTCTTTATTGGGGTTCTCACTGAGTTTATCTATTCTTCCCCTAAATTCATTGACGTCTTAAATTCATTGAGCATCATTATAACCAGTGTTTTGAACTCTGTATCTGTTAGATTGCTTGCCTCAGGTTTTTTTTTTTAGTTATTTCTCTGGAGTTTTGTCTTGTTCATTCAGTTGGAACATGTTCCTTTGTCTCTTCATTTTAACTGCCTCTCTGTGTTTTTTCCACTAAGTATTAGGTAGATCCCCTATGTCTCCCAGTTTGGGCAGGATGACCTGTGGGGCCCAGTTGTACTGTCTCCATGAGCACCATAGCTGGGTGTTTCATAATATCTCTCATGTGGTTTGTATGTGCCCTTCTCTTGTTGTTAAGCCTGATTTCTTTTGGCACATTAGCAGATAGGTTAGACCCTCAGGCTCACTGGCTGTGAAGACTGGCCATGACCATAGCATGCAAGTTGCTGTGTGGGGGTTGATCTCACAGAGCAGGATTAGCCCCAGTGGAGCTGTAGTGCCTGCTGAGACCACCCTTCAGGTGCACTGCTTTTGGAGCTAATTGGGTGGTGTTCTGTTGTGGTCCAAAGCCAGCCACCAGGTATGTTGGCTCTGGGATCTCTTGAAAGGGGCTCTGGCGCAGTTCCAGATCAGCTACTGCCTTTGACCAGCCAGGGACCAATTGTTGGGAGCTACAAAGCAATTTGTACTTGGTATCTGCATGTACTGCCCTTAGTACTGGGCCTGGGGCCATTCACCAAAAGGCACTGGGTATCCCAATTCCAGCCTCCATCTGCTGACTACTGCTAAAGCACAGCTGCTGAAAGTGCCTTGGGTGGTACATGAGTTGGGTGTGGCTGTGTTTTAGGCAGTCACCAGGGTGGGGTGAGTGGTTTTCATCAGGTTGATGCAGATTCAGATTTGGTGCCAGTGCAAACCTGGAGCCACACAGCAAGAGGCACAGGGCACACCTAGGTTAGCCACCACCTGCCTGTGCCTGTTGGACTTTTGAGAGTTTTTTGGTTTTTGTTTTAGAAAGATGAAGTGTGGACCCAGGCTGGCTGCTTGCCTCTGTAAGAGCCTCCAGCAATGCTGAGTCTGAGGCTAGCTCCCAGCTGGTACAAGACTCTCTGGAAGTTCAGGGACCAGGGTCAGGTATAAACACAACCCCAGAATTGCTTAACCAAAAAGTTTTGAACTTCTAGGTGATTGTGGGAATATTAGGTTACTGTTTTATACTTTTGTTGGCTTCCAATTTTACTGTGTTTTGATCATATAATGTATTCTGTGTTGTTTCTATATTTTAGAATTTATTGAATTTTTGAGGCTAAACATATAGAAAAATTTTTACAAATGCTTGAAGGCATTTTTGTAAAGTTGCTGTTTTGTTATGAGGATATTGAATTTAATATATACCTCTAAGTTCTACAGTATTGTTACTTAGGGTCTTTATATGCTTATTTTTCTATCTACTTCATCTATCATAGATGAAGTGGGTATTATTGTTGCTTTTCTGTACTTGTGTTTTCTACCACATTGCTTTTTTTTAATTTAGTTATTCTTTGGTACATAAAGATCCTTGAGAAATATTTATTGTGGATTGTATTCTTTATTATCTTAAAGAATCTATTTTTACTACCTTTTGCTTTGAGTTAATAATTGCCTGATACTAATATTGCAAACCCTACTTTCCCCCATATGATTAGTATTTGTTTACACTTTTACTATCAGCCATAAGTCATTATATTATAAATGTTTCTTTTTTTAAGTTTTTAAAAAGATTTTGTATTTATTTACTTTTAGAGAGGGGAAAAGGGAGGGAGAAAGAGAAGGAGAGAAACATCATTGTGTGGTTGCCTCTTGCTCACTCCGCACTGGGGACCTGGGCTGTAACCCAGGCATATGTTCTGACTGGGAATCAAACCCACAACTCTTTGGTTTGAAGGCTGGTGCTCAATTCACTGAGCCACACAAGCCAGAAATAAATATGTTTCTTTCATCTAGATGATCATTATTTTACAGCCAACTTAATAGATTAATTTATTCTATTTCACTTATGTTACAGGTATGTTGAGATTTACTTCCGATCACCTATTGTTTTTCTGTTTTTAGTGTTTCCATTTTCTTAAGTAATTCAACAAAGAGACAATAAGAGCATAATTTAAAGAAACATAAAATATTTAAAAATTGTTTTTTCCCTAGTCATTAGTTGCACTGATTACTACTTAACTCTGATTTTCTCTTATACATGAACACTGACCATGAGCCTTTCTTACTGTCAGATCCCGAGTCAGGTATAATCCCTCTGACTTCCTAGCTGCAGCTTTTGAATTAGCATTTTAGACATGTTTGTGCTGACATATCAAGTATAAGACATTATTGTTCCTTATGAGTGCTCCCAACTAACTTCTCTGCATGGGGGGAACTACTTTGTTTTTCTCTCCTTTTCACAGTGCTTTCTACTTTCAAGTTGTGTGGTATAATCTGATAGAAAAAGAGACTATGATGACCTATGTATGTCCACAATTTTAGAGCCATCTTTTCCTAGGTTTTTTTTTTTTTTGAGTTATTTATTCCTATGGCTACTTCCTCTCATTCCTTTAAAACTCAGAGCTTTAAACTCAAGGCTCATTGAATTATTAATGAAAATCTTAACTTCTCTTAAAATCTTGATTGACATAAACTTACTTCTAATAAAAATTGCATCTCTCTTTTCTCCTCCTACCTTTTCTTGCCAGCCTCCATTATGGACACACACTCATATACACCTTGGTTTTTAGAATTATATAAACATACATTCTTTTCTCAATAGTAAGCTGAAGTGTTAGCCATCTTCATTGTAAATTCTTAGAGATAGCTATGTTAATAAGTGCAATTTGATGGTAAATATTGAATAAATGGAGCTTTATCATGAACATATCATTCTTATGAAAATATTTATTTTAAAATATATTTTCAACTGAATGGTTACATTTGGAGTGGAAACTTGTGAATTTTAAGATCTAGATAATTAATTACTTGGTTCATCAACAGGAAAATGGAATTTCCATATGTTTTCAAACTTGACTTTTAGCCCAGATTTGGACAAATACACACTTTCTCTTTCAGTTATATTACATATGAATTAGTCATAATTTCTTTTTTGTTTCCTTACATTCTGGAAAAACATCATCAGCTATTAACCACTTAATTTCCATTTTCTCAAACATTTTTTTGAATTAATTTACATTCTCATCTATTCCTGTTAGCACACAGACCTTTAAAGGTGATTAACCCTTAGACAAGTGAAATTTGAAAAAGATCAATTTTAACTTAACATTTTATTTGTGTGTGAAGTCAAAACTAAAGTTTTGAAAGTCAATCTTTGCAATGGTTTTAAATGAATTAAAATATAATGTAATTTTGAAAGGTTGCTTTTGGATCATTAAATAATTTAAAATGTTTCCAAAGGCTAATCCTTATTCAAAGATGTTGATTAGATGTAGCTTATCGATTTAATACTAAGACAATATTAAAAATATGTTTTTGAGTCAGTTTTCTTTGTTTTTAAAGGTTTTATTTATTTATTTTAGGCAGAGTCGAAGGGACAGAGAGAGGGAGAGAAACATCAATGTGTGGTTGCTTCTCGTGCACATTGCCCACTGAGGACCTGACCTGGCCCAAAACGCAGGTATGTGCCTCGACTGGGAATTGAATTAGCAACCCTCCAGTTCGTAGGCTGGTGCTCAATCTACTGAGCCACACCATCCAGGGCCTGACTCATTTTTTGTAAAACTTTTTATATTGCTGTATTTTCAAAATATATGTACTTAAAAAAATTTGCTGATATATCAATTAGTAGTATGTGCTTAGGAGTTGGACAACAGGATCAAATGCCTTCTTTATAACTCCTCCCAGCCTCTCCTTGCCTCCTTTTACACAGAAGTTTATCTGTAAAATGTGGATGATAGTGTTTCCTTACTCATAGAGTCATTGTAAGGATTAATAGACTAGATAAATGTAAAGTTCTTAGAAGAAAGCCTGACATTTGGGAGCACTACAATAATGTTAACTATATTTTTCCCCAGTACACTGTAGTGATTAAACTCATGGGCACTGGAGGTGGGCAGACCTAGGGAGCAATCCCAGTTCTGTCTCATGTTGTTGGTGTGGCACTGGCAAGTCATTTATTTGCTCTCTCCTCCAAGCTCCCATCTTCCCTGCTGAATAATATCAATACATACTCAGTTACATTAGATGAAAGGTTTAGCATAGTACCTAATGTGCTCAATTAATGATACCCAGAAACTCTGAATATGTTTAGAAAGACTTTTAAATGTTTTTTGATAGAAATCAAGGAGCAAGTTTTCAAATTCAGGTTAAGGAAGGCAGTAATAATAGACAAAGACAGATAGATGGAAGAAGAAAAGGAAGTGAAGGAGGGAAGAAGGGAGGGAGAGAGGTAATAAGTAACTTAGTCTATATTTAATGGCATTTAAAAAATATATTACTCCCTTAAGTGCCAGTTTGTGGAGGCGGACAGGAATAGAAGCTCCCTTCCTCTTGAATTAACACAGTTCTGTGTCACTCTTTCCTTACTCCAAAGCCCAGTTAATATAAATGTCCTCATTTTACCCTTGCACTAATTCCATGCTGAGGTCCATACCCAGGCCTGTGTTCCTACAGGGCTGGCAAATGTCTGTGTGGGAAGACTCCTTCCAAAAGCAGTTTCTTCACAAACAAGTCACCATTAAAAGTACTATTCTTTATAAAGTGCCTATTCTTTGGGGTTGTCAGAAATGAATGTATTTCGTGAATGGTTTATTTATTTTCTCTTAATAGGTAAGTGAAGAGTAGGGCACTACAGAGTGCATTAGAATCCAGCACAAAATGAGGAGCATTTTAAAAATCCAGTTGATTTTCTGGAGGGTGCAACCTGGTTAGCAGTTCCCAGGAAGCTCAGAAAGTGATAACCTTTGAAGAATACTAGATATAATTGCCTTTAATTTCAAATACAAAATGAAACTGTTTTTAAAATACTCATATTTTATAAACAGAATGAAAAACCAATTAAGCACACATTTAGAATTATTGTAATTTTTTAAATTTAGAGATTAAAAATCATAACTTTAAAATAGTCCCTGCTTTACAATGGCTAACTATAAACTCTTGGAAAAAAAGCCAAATTCAGGACAAATAAGGGGTCAGTATAAGTGAGAGCATGACTCACATAAATCACATTGAAGTTTCACCTAAAAAGCAAGAGGAATAATTCGTATTCACATTTATACTATACATACATTGGCAAAGTTCTTATAGTTACAATTCAGAGCCTTAGGTTTCTTCCTTTCCATCAACTGGACTACTAGTCTCTCACCTGTAATCTCTGTCCCCTCCTACCTAGTACCTCAGTTGAAGCACAACATTTTCCAGAGGATGTATTTTAGGCATTTTTTTTCTTCAAAGCTCTTGTTGGTAATGTAACTTTGACCCCGTGCCACAGATCTGAATCACTGTCATAGTAACACTTGTGCTTTGAATATTGAATGTCCCTGATTTACTCTTATTGTTCTGTCTGTCTCTCTACTGTCTTAATAATGATTGCAGTGTGCATTATTTATCTGTTGTTTCAAAGCAAATTAAAACTTAGTGACTTAAAGCACCAATAAACATTTATTATCTCTCAGTAATTTCTGTGTTGTGAATTCAGGAGCTGCCTGGCCGGGCAGTAATTTTGGCACAGGGTCTCATGAGGTTGTAGTCAGATGTCTGCCAGGGCTGGAGTCATCTGAAGACTTGACTGAGATTAGAGGATCTGCTTCTGAGAAGACTCTCACGTGGATGGTAAGTCGATGCTAACTTTCAGCAGCAAGGCTCCATTTCTCTCCACATGGATCTTTCCATACAACCACTTGAGTGCTCCTACTACACAATGGCTGGCTTCCTTCAGCACAAGCAATCCAACAGAGCAAAGCAGAAGTAACAGGGCCCTTTATGAACTCATGTCAGAGGTCACAGGCTCTCATCTTCACTATTATCTGTCATACAGGAAAGCTCTGATTCAGTGTGGGAGGAGAATACACAAGGGTATGAACACCAGGAGGTGTTCAATACAATACGCTGATATTGTGTGGTAGGCTCTCTCCAATAGAGCTACTAATGATCTCTCTTGGAGACAGCGTCCTCTCTTGATTATAAATATGAGTATTTTAAAAACAATTTCATTTTGTATTTGAAATTTAAAGGCAATTACATCTAGTATTCTTCAAAGGTTATCACTTTCTGAGCTTCCTGGGAACTGATAACCAGTTTGCACCCTCCAGAAAAATTCAAATTTCCTATTGATGAACCAAGTAATTAATTATCTTGATCTTAAAATTCATGTTTCCATTCCAAATGTATCTATTCAGCTGAAAATATAGTTTAAAGTAAATATTTTCATAAGAATGATATGTTCATGATAAAGCTCCATTTATTCAATATTTATCATCAAATTGCACTTATTAAAATAGCTATCTCTTGTGGCATCCACCAACACGAGCAACAAATGGTCGGAAACTTTCAGGAGTTTAAGACGGAACTTTATTGGCCAAAGCTTTACCTGCGTAGGGGCGAATTCTCGAGGTGAGGTGTCCGGAGACACGGTGCCCAGAAAGGGCTGCAAATGAAAGTCGCGCCTGGCGCGTACAGCCTAGGGTTTTTATTGGTGTGAGCAAGCAAGCAAATACAGAAGCAGATGTAGCCGTTAGCGATTGGCTATCTCGAGGGAACACACATGGCTATGCTTTCTGCCTGCCTGCAGCAGTGGATACTTTTCTGCAAAGACAAGGTCATGCACAGGCGGTTATCTTGTTCAGCACTCTTTGTACTTTCTGTATTTTCTATCTTCCTTGCTGAGTCTGGAGCCTGCCTCGGGTTCCTTGTTCCTCTTGGCTACTTTTATCTAATTCCGGGCCTAACACTCTAAGCATTTACAATGAAGATAGCTAACACTTCGGCTTACTATTGAGAAAAGAATGTAGGTTTATATAATTCTAAAAACCAAGGTGTATATGAATGTGTGTCCATAATGGAGACTGGTGAGAGAAGGTAGGAGGAGAAAAGGGAGATACAGTTTCTATTAGAAGTAAGTTTAAGAGGCTGTCTCCAAAAGAGATCAGCAGCTCTCTTTGAGCTCTCTTAGAGACAGCATACCACAATATAAGAGTATTGTATGTTCTGTTGTTCAATGTTAAACACTGTTTTTGCCTCCTGAAATAGGCTTTTCTATTTTCTAATAATTGTATATGAGCCTGTTACCTGACCTGTTGACCTTCGTGATTTATTATAAATCCAGGTTCTGTCTACTCCTAGTCTTCACCGCTCAGACCCAAAACTTAAACTCCCAAAATGTAAGTGCAACTAGAAATATGCTTCTCAATTAAATCATCTAGTTCTGATTCTCGGTGAATTATCAACTTAGAGCAGGGGTGTCAAACTCATTTTCACCTGGGGCCTCATCAGCCTCAAGCTTGCCTTCAAAGGTCCGAATGTAATTTCAACTCCTTAACAGTCAAGGAGTAGTTACATTTATACAGTCCTAAAATTATTTCAGCCTCATGAAGGCAACCACAAGGCTGATGTGGCCCCCAGTAAAAATGAGTCTGACACCCTGAGTTAGAGTATCCTTCTCCTTGTCAAGCTTAATATCACACTAGTTAGTATAAACCTTTTCAGAGTCAGTAGGAGTGTTATCCAATTACCTTCCTTTGGACAAAATATGTGAAGGCATAGGAGAAAGAGTACTAACTTTGTTTCAATGTTCTTTGTTGGTTTAACCATAATAGTGGAACTTCTTGTTTTTCCAACCCGTACTTCTGCACTTGTTTTTCTTACAATTATGATTTATTTGAGTTACCGATTGTGACTCCCTAGTCTGGGTTTACACTTAAACACAAGCCTTAACTGGAGGAGGTTATTGTTTGTTTTTGTTAAAATTTTTTTGGAATTCTTGGTTTAATTATGAGACTTCCTTGATAAGAAATTTTACCTAACAGTGGAATGGTTAACGATTCAGGGCTCTATAAACCAGTTAGAGAGTTATATGTGAGGATGTGTTACAATGATTACAACTTATTTAACCAAAGAATGCCATGATTAATGACAGAATTCTATAAGCAGAGATATTTATAGAAATAATATGGACATTCATACAGTAATTTTAGAACAAAATATTGTTTTTTAATTTTCTAAAAAGAATAATTACAGTGAAAGGCAGTTTATGTAAATATGTTGATTTAGATTTTTACACATATTGAACAGATATTAGATTTCAAAATTAATGACCTAAAAGTCTTTTAAATGTGCCTTTTAAAATTAATGTACAATAGTGTAAATTAATTGATTTTTATAATTAATTTCATTTATTTTAATTGTAATTAAAATCTATTATACACATAAAAGCATGGCAAAACAGTTTTTTAAGAAGTACATCTCTGCTTTAAATTTGGAATCCTTAGAAGATATTATTAAACTACATATCAGTGATTCAGTGAAATTCACAGGAGATAGACTTTTCCATTAAAATTTCCAGAAAGAGCTCATTGAGCAAGCTATATGAGTTTACTTTCAGTAATATCTATAAAATATGCTTGAAACTCAGACTTAAAAATCAAAAATGCTGGAGGAAAGGAACCAAAATACTTAGCCCTTCCCTTCTGTTGGTGGTAAAACAGAAACAGGTGTTAGACTGGTGGAATCGTATGAGACCTCAGTTCACCAGCCTTGGTACTTGAATTCTGGGTAAGAAAGAATTCAGAGCCAACACTCAAACTCTAAGAGAAAGTTTATTTAGAAAGTTACAGAGGTATAGGAAGTGAACCTTAGAAGAAGTGGCTCAGGAAGCAAGTTATAGAGGCAAAAGAAGTGCCCTTGGAGCTTAGGGGCGAGGAAGGTAAAGGTGACACACCTGGTGGGGCGGAACGGGGAAAGAGGGAGAGAAGAAAGGCACAGGGGAGTGCTCCTGGGAGGGAGAGGTGCACTGGGTCCCACATCTTAAGGGTATTTATCTGGAGGCCTCAGGTGAGGATCCTAATATTCAATAACTTTACAGGTGTGTCCTTTTAGGGTCATGCTCTTTCTCTGCTGATTGGTTGAAGTCACAGCAGTGGATTATTAATCAGTGCAGTTGGTCTTGATGTCAGCCATGGTGTCACTTGCTGGGTTTTGCTGCTTTTCTGGGACTGGAGCTGAATCACAACTTAGGCCTAGAGGTTATCCCTAGGGCTTGGCTCCTTGTTTTTTCTCCAATGGTTCTACCTCATAATTAGCGACATGCCAGGGGATAAAAGGTCAGGGGAGGGTCCAAGTCGCATGACCAGAGATATTAATGGCCAGGTGCTTTAAATCAAATGACCTGCAATATGCTAGAGAAGGAAAGGTTACCCTGAGGGCAAGGTTCTGTTTTCCCAGTTTTGCCCATTGCTGAGTACCCGGGGCTTTCTGCCCTGATGACCTTCTGTAGCTGGCCTATTGTCCTTGCTCGGCTCATGTCTGTCTAATTGCCTGCTATACTTCCACTAGTCCTAAGCTTTCAGTCTGCATCCTGCTGGTCTTTTACCCATTAACCCAGTAGAGTTAGGAAGGGATAAATGAAAGATCATATGAAAAGGTGGACAATTAGGAGTCAAGAAAGAAAGCAGGAAGCTCACTTGGAGTAATTAGAGCCTCTTTAGAAGTTGTGCTATAGACCAAATGTTTGTGTCCCCTTAAAATTCCCGTGTTGAAGCTCTAATTCCAAATGGAATGGAATGCAGAGGTAGGGTTTTGGGAGGTAATTATTAGATGAGGTCATGAGGGTAAAGCCCCATGATTGGATTAATGCCCTTATAGGTAAAGGAGGAGACCAGAGCCCCCTCTCTCTCTGACATGTGAGCATGTGAGGACACAGCAAGAAGGTAGCCATCTGCACACCACAAAGAGAACTCTCACCAGAAACCAAATGTGCTGACATGAGATCTTGGGCTTTCCAGCCTCCAGAACTGTGAGAATTGAACATCTACTGTTTAAGCTACCTAGTCTATTGTATTTTGTTATAGCAGCCCAAGCTGACTAATATAGGCAGATACTGTAGGGAAGAATCTTCTTGGTAGAAGAAAGAGACAGTAAAGTCCTGAGGGAAACGCATGCCTGGTGTGTTATGGGAACAACAAGAAGCACAGTATGGACAGAGCAGGGTGGAAAAAAGGAGATTACATCGACCAATAAAATATCCTTAAATTTGACCAACCAAAGTGGCATTATTTAATCTGCTAACCTGATAGGCTTATTCTAAATCTATAACCAAGCAAAGGTATGGCTATCACTCTGAAAGAAAGAGAATTGGGGGTCATCTGGGAAACTGTCTACATCATTCCAGGAGACTTTACCAGAGGCCATTATGTCTTAATAACAACCACAGTAATTTTACCCTTACAGGTAGCTCTGTTTTTTATGTCTTGTTCATTACAAGACAACCTTTCCTCTTTTCTTTTGAAGAAGAAATCAATCTCCATAATAGACCAAACTACATAGTTTTGTATATGAAGTCTGTCTGAAAAAAGTCCAGCCATTGTTAACATAATGAGAATGGTTTGCATGACATCAATGTAACCTGGCAGCCAAGGAGAGTGGACTAGAATGTGTATGTGTGAACAATGAGGACCTTACTAGTCAGTGGGGGTGGTAGATGCTATAGAGTGAGCACGTTTACTGTGTGGCAATGACATTAAAAATGATTGAGCAAGCAGAGCAATCAGATGTTGCATTAACCTTGAACATTCCTCTGCATTAATTGTTTGGATGATTCAGAAGGCCACAGCTATGGG